ATAGATGTGAATAACACAAATAAAACATCAAATTTCGCAATGAAGAAAAGTATTATGGTAGAAAATATTCCACGATAAATGCAGAAGAGAATTAGAGTTGATATTTATTCAAGAGATAAAAGTGTTGGTAAGAATGACGTGTTAGACAACAAAATTCTACATTCATTATGGAATACGTACTATAGAAATACTATTTGAGTGTCTCGAGTGCAGTGTGACTTTCCCAAATAATCCTAAGTCTTTTGAATACCGTTGAGATGAAACGCATAGAATAAGTAGCAAAATAAGAGTTCGAAATTAAACGAAAATATCATTTCTATAATTCATGAGATAAAGTAGAAGCAAAGAATATTATTTCAGATAGAAATATTTCCTAAGATTTTGAGTTTCATCTCATTCACAAAGATAAATATTCTTATTTTTGACCCAAATTTTGACTTTAGAGTTTCTAGAAAAAACTTTTGAACAACATAAATGATTTATTAATTTTTAGATAATGTCTACCGATGATAATCTATCTACTTCAAAACGACCATTTGGTCTATCACTTCCTAGTAAACCAAAATCAAAAACAACGACAACAACAACAACTTTAACTCCAATTAATAGAAGTTGTTTAGCAGCTGCTGCATTTTCTCTTGATGATGATGATGATATAGAACCAACAAGTTCATCAATAAAAACAAATAAATTTCCAACATCAACTCGTCTTAAACTTAATCCAAAAGCACAACGTGATATTGAAGAAGCACTTGAACAAGATCCAAATATATATTCATATGATGAAGTTTATGAACAAGTTAGTTCAACTGTTCAACAAGAACAAAAACGTGAAGAAAAAAAACGTCTTGAACGTGAAACAAATATATTTCGACAACCAAAATATGTTGCAGGTCTATTAGAAAAAAGTAAACAACGTGAAAAAGAATTTGAAAGAGTACAAGAACGACGTATACAACGTGAACGTGAACAAGAAGGTGATCTTTATGCTGATAAAGAAGTATTTGTTACATCAGCATATAAAGCTAAATTAGCTGAACGACAAGCTGATTTAGAACGTGAAAAACTTGAAGATAAACGTGAAGCTTTATTAAATGTTTTACAACAAGATAATATGGATGCTTTTTATCGATTTCAATTTAAAGTTCGAACAGGTGAATTTTAATTTTATGAAAAAACAAAAAAAAAAAACATTCGTTATTTTGTTTTTTAGGTGATGTAACTATTCTTGAAGAAAGTGAAAAAATTAAAAATGAACCATCAGAAAGTATTCAAAAAGGTAAAAATATTAACAATAAAAAACATATATTCAATTTTATTTCTTTTTTAGAATCATCGACTAATCGTCAACTTCGTTCACGAACAACAAATGATGATGATCAAATGGAAATAAATTCTTCAAATGATAATGATAATATGTATGTACGTGCACGTGAAAAACATACTCGATCTATACAACGTGAACATCATCATCAAGATATTAATAATGATGAAGTAATTATTGATGAATTACCAAAATCTACTCAAAAAAATACAACAGTTAAAATTCGACGTATTAATGATGAAAAAACACAAGAATTTGATGATGAACAAATTGCAATGGGTGTAGGTGGAAGTAATAAAAAAAATAAAATAAAAAAAGATAAAAATGAAAAATTAATTAATACAAAAGAAAATGATTTATTAATAAATATGCCAATAGCACTTGAGAAAAAACGACAAGCTGAAGAAACAAGAATTGAACGAATACGTCGATTATGTGAAAAACGAACAATTGGTGATATATTTGATATGGCTCAACAAGATTATTATGAAAGACAACAAAAACGAAATTTATTTAAAGATTATATTGAAAAATCTGAATCATAATCTTGTATTTATGTTTGTAGAAAAATAAAACGATAAAGTATTAATATAGATTTAAATGATTTGTATTTTGCCGGGATAGCTCAGTTGGGAGAGCGTCAGACTGAAGATCTGAAGGTCCCTGGTTCGATCCCGGGTCACGGCATTATTCTTTTTTTCAATGCATAGAAGGTGTCGCTCTTTTCATTTTTTTTCAAAGCAATCTAGAATAATGATTTTATCATATTTATTGTGAATGATGGATACCTTTGATAATAAGAGAATTTTAATTAGATCAATGTAGAATTAAAAAAGAAAGGTAGTTTATTCATTAGTATATGACATCTGTAGATCGACAAAAGTATGTCAGAATAAAGTAGAGAAAAATTTCAATTGTTTTTTATTTTTATTTTTTTTCGAATAATGAAAGCATCTTAATGAAGATCAATTTTCTTTTTTTTTTTAAGAATTGTTTTTTTTTTAGTAGTTTTGAAGTAATGCTTCTTTTTGTGTTCTTCATGAAAAATTTAAAGAAGAATAGAAAAAAAAACAAGCATTGATTTTTTGTTTTAATATCAATTTTTCATCGACATCATCGAATTTTTCATGGAAGGTCTGTAGGAATGAAATTTAACTAGAAAAAAACTATATTCTGAAAATAATTTGGTGTTGTATCGTAGTGTCATAAATGCACTCTTTATCTCTAGTTAATTCTTCGCTTTTAGTTAATGCTAAGATGAATATCGGAAATCTGTAATAAAATCCTCAAAAGAAGAAGTTGTAGGTCAAAATGTACATAAACTATCGATTTCTTAGAGTTCCTGCATGTTGTGACATATTGTTTTTTTTATATAATCGTGATTGAAAATGATAAAGACTTGGGCACGAGAGTTTGAGATCTATAGTTTCGAAATATGACTAGAATCTGTCGTCATTTTTAATGAACACTAGCCCATCAATAAGATAAACTCTAATATCTTTGTTTTTTATCTTTAAAGCTTCAAAGGCATGTAATGTATGTGTTGAGTTACATACTGGTAGATGTATAAATGAAACATGTATCTGTCATGCTGGATTTAGTGGAATTGCATGTACAGGTAAGAATTTATTTATTTTAATATGCATAGAATAATAATTTTCTTCGTTTGAAAGATCGATTAACAACATTGATTGCACAATTATCTAAATCTCAAATTAATATTGCTGTTGTTGTAGCTGGTATTCTCGGTGGTGCTTTATTTGCTGTTATTGTTAGTTTTGTCGTCTTTTTAATTTGGAAAAGAAGAGTTAAAAAGAAATTATTTGGAATGTCACAATCGACAATAGCTACAAATTTATCATCATCAATACCTGTTGAAGTACCTGCTTTGTATAATATATCATCATCTCGACGAACTTCATCCACTCCAACAACGACTTATCATTTATATGAAGAATTGTTATAAAAACTTTTTTTTTCTTCATAGAATTGATGTTGAGTGTATTTGGTCATGATGAAGCATCAGTTCGACAATGAACTGGCTGTGTAGTGATTTTATATTTTATACTGTCCTATGTCTCAAAAATTTTTTTTTTCGTATCGCTGTTGTTGTGTAATTTATATGTCAGTTTTAACAATGGGAAAAAGTCATATGGGTTTAGATATGCGGAATATGATTCTGGGCGGCAAATTTCTTGAGAGTCGAGAACATCTATGGTCTTGTATTTTCATGGTGAAAACTTATATTGACAAGCTAACTTCTGTTTACTAGATCATAATAAAATGATCTTCGTTAGGTTATAAATAGCGTGATATGCTTGTCTGAATTTTTATTTCAATGAGCTTTAGCTGCTCTTGAGTTGTTTTATAACGATATAACTATGATCGATCACTAGTGATAATATTGAATACAAGATTGAAATTAGTGTATCCAAATCTCGACGAGACAGTTGAATACGAAACTAGTTTCAGTCATCGATGAGCTTATAATGCATTTATCAAACATAAAAGCGTCGTAGAATTTTAAACGAATAGAAATAATTGGTGAGGAAATTATGTTCAGAGTGTTTTCTATAAATTCATATACGCAGTGAGAACTATCTGATCCAAAGCTTCTAGATCCTACTATTCCTATACTAAACGGACATGATTTTTCACGTATGTAGAACTAATTTTAAGTTCATATAAAATTATAGATCGATATCGGTCTCGTAAGCCATTTAAAAAATAACACGTACATGACTGATCAGAAAGAAATTTTGTACATAATATGTCTATGCACTTTAGATTAATACTTGATCTCAATATACATCTTTTAGGAAGGTCGGATGAAAAAAATTGTTTTAGTGCTCTACGTACGTAGTTATATCTTCTAAATAACTCATAAGACAACTTTTCTATTGTTTTTAAATACAATGTAAATACTTGGATTCGTTTTTCAGGCTATATTTATACTCATATTAGTCAAATAGGTTTAAGAACTGTGTTTAAACACAGGTCTAAAAGTCAAAAACACCAAACTATGGCTGGTAAATGCATACCTTCTATAGAGTACGTCTATATAACATTCAACTTAAGATCATCTCCTGTTATCAACGCAGTCTAATGCCAACAAGAAAGTATTTGTCTTCAAATGTGTCTATTTCGAGAAATTCATTAGAATTTATTGAGTACATTTCAAGCGTATTTAAAGACAAATTACCTTCAAACTTCGCTATTTACAACAAAAAGTCTTGTTGACCTGTCTAACATGCATTTTGTGGTTATGTGAACAATTTTCAGCGTTACTGAAATGTTCATAACAAAGAAATATTTAGTACTATGATTGCTGAACAAATAATTTTCCTCGCATTAGTGATTTAAACTAGAAATGATTAACACAAGAATATTCAGCAGAAAAAAAAAAAGATATACTTGAGTATAACTTTGCAGCTATTTTTTAAAGAATGGTTGAATAGCCAATATTTATATACTTTGATTAATTTTAATATTGAAATTTAGTAGAAATATTATCATAATACACATTTATCATCAATGCAAATTTGATTTCAATATTAATGGGCGCTTTTTTTTTCTTTTTGCTATGAAATAAAATTTTGCGGAAGGAAATTTCAAAAATACTTTTAGTGTTTTTTGATCACTCTTTTGTTTGATAATATGATTTAAATAATGATAAATAAGATTATGTTACCAGTTGATATATTATGTCGAGAATTACATCGACTTGATAATGATATTGATCGATTACAAATGCTTATTACACTTAAATCTCATCTTAATAATTTACAATTTAATTCAAATAATCTACAATTCTTTTTTTCTATCTTTAATGATGAACAATATCGTTTACAAGCAATTAATCAATTAATTCCATCGGTAATATTTTTGTTTTTTATTTTTCTTTGATCTTGAAAATCTTATATTTAATTAGATTCATACATTTATTACATCCGATAATAATCTAACAATACTTTTAGAACTTTTTACTAATAATGAATATCGTTTAAATTTAATTGAAACACTGAAAAATTGCGAGTTTGTTATATTTAATTTTGTAATAAATATTTTACAAAAAAAAAATTCTTTTATCTATTAGACCTTTAAAAACAAATAAAGAAATTAATGAAATATTACATAATGAATATCGTCAATATTTTCATGTAAAAAAAATTCAATCAAAACAAGATATTAAAAATTCCGAAGATCAATTTACTCAAATTGAAAATTCTAAAGATATAGAACCAATTATTCCTATAACTACAACATCTAATGTTGCTAAAGTTTGTTTTTCTTATTTAAATATTCATATCAAAAATATTTGAAACATGAAATGTAGACTTCTCATAGTAGTATCAATGTTATGAGTAGAAGGAACATGCTATGAAAGTTTCATCGGATTCGGAATTGTAGAAAATTTTTGCAAATTTATTACACTGTAAAAGCACTCGACCATTAAAGAAGAATGACCAGATAAAATCGATAGAGTGAAAAAACATAGTTTCAAATTATACATAAATAATTTTCTGAGAAAATGTTTCTTCCTTATTTAGAGATTGTACTGCTAATAGTGTGTTTTTTTTTTGTTTTAAGGTTTTATCAAATACATCAGGAGTATTTGAAAAAGCTAAACAATTTGTATGTCGTGTATTTGGTGGTAGTTCATCTTCTCTTAATCAAGAATTATCAAATAAACGATTGATTAATGAAGTTAATTCTATAATAGATAATAACCAACAAAAAAAATTTCATCCTATCGATGATGATAATAATGATTTACAATTTCAACCAACATCAATTTCTTTATCAACATCACAAAGTTATACATCATTAATTACAAAATCACCACCACCTTCACCAATAACACAACCAATTATTCGTCAATCATCTATGTCATTTCATATAGATGAATCATCTATACCTATTCAATCAATGATGGTAACACAAATTCATTCAATTCTTGATAATATTGATTCAGTTCTTGATAAAATTGAAACAGAAGCTAATTCAATTATTCGACGACCAATTTTTGATGAAAATTATTCATCTATTGAAACATCAAATATAAATAATTTAAATAATGATTTTTCTCAAGAATTATCAAATCCATCAATACAACAAAGTACTGATCAAATAACACAAACGACTATTAATATTGTTGAACATCATTTAAATATGAATGATGGTAGTGGTGATACAACACCAACATTTATTGATTTACTTGATATTATTGAAGAATCTAATTCGATTATATCATCAGAATCGAATGATGAAATAATTGAAAATGTTCATTGATGAATTAAAATTATTTTTTATGAATATATCAAAAATAAAAAAAAAACAATAGATTCAATAAATCTTGTCTTACAGACATAATTATTCTCATGCATCAATAGATAAAATGTTGATAAAGCAAAGTATAAGAAGAAAGTTTGATCCTTGCAAAAACATTATGTGTCTTTCATTTTACTAATACGACACGTGTGACAACTCTCAGTTCAATTAAAATCATAGTACTAAATTACGAGGTCAATACCTATTGAAACTGACTACCTTTAGAAATTTGACTTCTTCCATGTCCTGTCCGTTTCAAAATAAAAGGTAGGTGGGTATTTTCTGAATAACTTTTGATAGGAACAAGATAGATAGCCGCGGTTTTTACTGTTGAAAAGAGCAGATGAAAACGCATCGAACCATATAAGGCAATGACTTTTAACTTGGATTTTTGAAACCTTTTGCAATAATTGAACAAAGAAATGCCTTAAAAAACAGGTCTGGTTTTTCCAGGAAAAAACGAAAAAATTCAAAAAATGAGTTTCTTTTGCAGAAATTGCTGGCAAAGTGGACTAGAATTGTCGAATATAATACCTAGAACTCCCAAAGCAGTAAAGCTTTGAATCAAGCTTCATATATAGTTTTGTAGCTCGTCAGCTACCGATTCTAATTCACTCCTCAAAGTTAAAAATTTGTTCTATCTTCATAGAGCACTAGGCTAGTATTTCAAGATAACCATAGATCACTATTTATTTATGAAATAAATCTCAACAATTTTATATGAATCGATGCGCTGGATAGGCCTCTTTCCAACGATGAAAATCGCAGCTCTCTATCTTGTTCCTATCAAAAGTTATTCAAAAAATACCCACCCGCCTTTTATTTTGAAATGAGCAGGTCAAACGATCCGTACATGATGTTCGAAAGTGAGCCCTGATTAGTTTAGTCATGTAGCGCTTATTTCTGCTGCGTACAAGTCTCGATAACCATTACATGTACATTGAATCTAACTATTGATGATAATCAACTCTTTTTATCTATCCATTTCATGAATGACCAGACTATTTCCATATGGCTTGATAGCACTTCAAAATGGTATACAAATATTAAGACGAAAAAACACTGATCACATAAAGAAATCTTAAAGATGCTGTTCTCAAGAAAAGATTTTAAGCCTCTTTTTATTGGTATTCAGTAGATACCGGTAAGAAAACTACAATTCGAGCGAAGAATAATATGCTATTCTGAATCGTAGATCGAAACGAGTCAAGAAAACCGCAACTCGACTTGGTCTAAAGTCAGTTCATCGGGATTTATTCATAGCATGGATATATGTAATGAAGCGATAGAGACTAACAGACTTGCGATGAATTAATCTTGTATGATATCGACCAGGCAAAGAATCAAAATAGTCTCTAACGAGAAACTTCTAAAGGATTTATCGAAGATTTTTCAAAACCTGAGGGTGTGATCTTGAGGGTGTGGGTGTGGGTGTGGGTGTGGATGCGAGTGTAGTTCTTCTCTTAACCCACACCCACACCTACAGCCACACCCCACATCCACACACCCACACCGAACAGCAGGTAAAACAGTTTTCCGCTTTTCGTTGTTTTCTTTGCTATTTTTTGCTTTTTTGACCAGAGAAGTTGGCAGTCCTCAGTGAGATCCCTGCCAGCATCGCAGTTATAATAATAATAGCTATATCGCACTCTCACTCTCACTCTCACTTCAAGTTTATATGAGCTTGCTATTTGTCAATTGACGTTGACGTTTAATAACGCTGATTTTAGCAAACATATATATTTGACAATATTAATAGAAGCAAATAATCCTTATCTTGTCACACATCATTGATAAGGAAACGAACACATACACTAGGTGAATAAAATAGTGTTAAAACATTAGTTTCATGGATATTAAATCGAGTTGTCGCATGTGTCATAATGGCTAGCACACACGCTACATACATCAGGCTTGACAATGAAGTAGCACAGCTTTGAATACTGTCTCTCATCCAATTGTTCATTTATTTCTGCACGTCAAGTAAGGAAGAAAGTATGGATATGCGAGAGAATTTTGCGCAAACGGACGGATCTCAACATGTATTTCGTCGATTTTATCGCTTGAGGCTCAAGCATTTCTTCAAGTTAATCTCCGCTCTACTGCTACCGCTCATGTTAGGTATCTTCACCGTTGTCATCACTGTTCATCAACAGAATGTGGCCAACCAGCAGCGTGCCGAAGATCGCTATGCAGCGCAACTACAACGTGACCTAGAGAAAAACCTGTCTGAGAAGCGATATCAAGACGACGTTCTTGATACCTATATTGTGGAGATGGGTGCACTATTGAAAGAAAGCAATGGTTCACTCACCTGTAATCCAGTTACAGCTACGCTTGCTCGGATAAAAACCCTCAATATCTTTCGTCAAATGGAGCCACAACGCAATATACGTATTATTAGGTTTCTTCACGAGGCTGGACAGCTTACTAAAACACAAGAACAACCCCCACTAGATCTCTCCACAGCAGAACTTCCTGATGTCGATTTTACCTATTCAGTAATAAATCAAGAAAAAATACGTAAACTATCGTTGGCTGGTGCCGTTTTATCTGGCGCCATCTTCGTAACAGTTGAGATGAAAGATGTCAACTTCTCTGCCACTCGTCTCGGTAATGCCAACTTTTCAGCGGCCAGGCTTGACTATGTCGATTTTTCATCTTCTCGGCTCGACAATACCAATTTTTCTGCGGCTCAGCTCGACCATGTCGATTTCATATCTGCTCGGCTCGGAAATGTCAAGTTTTCATCCACCGCGTTTCACGAGGTTGACTTTTCATCATCCACACTTTTCAATGTCAATTTTTCATCTGCCTTGCTTGTGCATGCCAGTTTTTCGTCGGCCCAACTCAACAGTATCGACTTTTTATTTGCTTCTCTCTTGAATCTGAATCTTGCACGGACTTCGCTCGACCATATAAACTTTTCCTTCGTCCGACTCAATGATGTCAAGTTTTCGAACGCTTTCCTTTATAATATAAACTTTGTGTCTTCCCGTCTCGCCAATATCGACTATTCATACGCGACGCTTCGTAGCAGCAACTTTTCATCTGCTGAGCTAAATTACGCTAAATTTTACTTCTCAAAGTTCTACGATGTTAATTTTTCATCCGCCATGCTAAGTAATATTGACAATACTTTTTCGCTTTTATGAACCCATGTAAAAAAACATGTCAAAAATCAGATTTTAATCGATTTTTTCATGATTTAAAATCGACTAAAATGGCACGATTAAAATCGATTATTGCGAGATAATCGATATTGATCTGGTGCCATCTGTTAACTGATTTCAGTCTGGCTCTTACTTTTTAATCGATTATCACTGCATAATCGATTTGAATCTACTCTTACCTGTTAATTAATTTGAACCTGCTGTAACCTTTTAATCGATTTTAATTGATTATTGCTAGATACTCGATTTTAATCGATTATTCTGAGATAATCGATTTTAATCAGACATATTGAAGATAAGCGCTTAGGGTAACGGATGTGGATGTGGGTGTGGGATGGGTGTTTAATTGACTGGAAAACCACACCCACACTCTACATCCATACCCACACCCACCCACACTCTACATCC